TACAGAGACTAGGAAATGCATAGCGACACATAGAGTTACATAGAGACCCATAGAGACTGACAGAGATACATAGAGACCCATAGAGACATACTGCATAGACACTCTTAGAGACACATAGAGACCCATAGAGATATACTGCATAGACAATCTTAGAGACACATAGAGACCCATAGAGACATACTGCATACACACTCTTAGAGACACATAGAGACTCATAGAGACATACTGCATAGAGACTCTTAGAGACACATAGAGACCCATAGAGACATACTGCATAGACACTCTTAGAGACACATAGAGACCCATAGAGACATACTGCATAGAGACTCTTAGAGACACAGAGAATCATAGAGACATACTGCATAGACACTCTTAGAGACACATAGAGATCCATAGAGACATACTGCATAGAGACTCTTAGAGACACAAAGAGACCCATAGAGACATACTGCATAGACACTCTTAGAGACACATAGAGACCCATAGAGACATACTGCATAGACACTCTTAGAGACACATAGAGACCCATAGATATATACTGCATAGACACTAATAGAGACACATAGAGACTCATAGAGGCATACTGCATAGAGACTCTTACAGACACATAGAGACTCATAGAGATATACTGCATAGAGACTCCTAGAGACACGTAGAGACTCATAGAGAAATACTGCATAGACACTCTTAGAGACACATAGAGACTCATAGAGACATACTGCATAGAGACTCTTAGAGACACATAGAGACTCATAGAGACATACTGAATAGAGACTCTTAGAGACACATAGAGACCCATAGAGATATACTGCATAGACACTCTTAGAGTCACATAGAGACCCATAGAGATATACTGCATAGACACTCTTAGAAACACATAGAGACCCATAGAGATATACTGCATATACACCCTTAGAGACACATAGAGATCCATAGAGACATACTGCATAGAGACCCTTAGAGACACATAGAGACCCATAGAGATATACTGCATAGACACTAATAGAGACACATAGCGACCCATAGAGACATACTGCATAGACACTCTTAGAGACGCATAGAGACCCATAGAGATATACTGCATAGACACTCTTAGAGACACATATAGACCCATAGCGATATACTGCATAGACACTCTTAGAAACACATAGAGATTCATAGAAGTATACTGCATAGAGACTCTTAGAGACACATATAGACCCATAGAGACATACTGCATAGAGACTCTTAGAGACACATAGAGACCCATAGAGACATACTGCATAGAGACTCTTAGAGACACATAGAGACTCATAGAGACATACTGAATAGAGACTCTTAGAGACACATAGAGACCCATAGAGATATACTGCATAGACACTCTTAGAGTCACATAGAGACCCATAGAGATATACTGCATAGACACTCTTAGAGACACATAGAGACCCATAGAGATATACTGCATATACACTCTTAGAGACACATAGAGACTCATAGAAATATACTGCATAGAGACTCTTAGAGACACATAGAGACCCATAGGGACATACTGCATTGACACTCTTAGAGACACATAGAGACATACTGCATAGAGACTCTTAGAGACACATAGAGACCCATAGAGACATACTGCATAGGACACGTAGAGACCCATAGAGATATACTGCATATAGACTCTTAGAGACACATAGAGACCCATAGAGATATTCTGCATAGAGACTCTTAGAGACACATAGAGACCCATAGAGACATACTGCATAGACGCTCTTAGAGACACATAGAGACCCATAGAGACATACTGCATAGAGACTCATAGGACACGTAGAGACCCATAGGGACATACTGCATAGAGACTCTTAGAGACACATAGAGACCCATAGAGACATACTGCATAGACACTCTTAGAGACACATAGAGACCCATAGAGACATATTGCATAGACACTCTTAGAGACACATAGAGACCCATAGAGACATACTGCATAGACACTCTTAGAGACACATAGAGATTCATAGAGACATACTGCATAGAGACTCTTAGAGACACATAGAGACTCATAGAGACATACTGCATAGACACTCTTAGAGACACACAGATACCCATAGAGATATACTGCATAGAGACTCTTAGAGACACATAGAGACTCATAGAGACATACTGCATAGACACTCTTAGAGACACACAGAGACCCATAGAGATATACTGCATATAGACTCTTAGAGACACATAGAGACCCTTAGAGACATACTGCATAGAGACTCTTAGAGACACAAAGAGACTCATAGATATACTACATAGACGCTCTTAGAGACACATAGAGACTCATATAGACATACTGCATATACACTCTTAGAGACACATAGAGACCCATAGAGACATACTGCATAGAGACTCTTAGAGACACATAGAGACCCATAGAGACATACTGCATAGAGACTCTTAGAGACACATAGAGACCCATAGAGATTTACTGCATAGACACTCTTAGAGACACATAGAGACCCATAGAGACATACTGCATAGAGACTCTTAGAGACACATAGAGACTCATAGAGACATACTGCATAGAGACTCTTAGAGACACATAGAGACCCATAGAGACATACTGCATAGAGACTCTTAGAGACACATAGAGACCCATATAGACATACTGCATAGAGACTCTTAGAGACACATAGAGGCCCATAGAGATATACTGCATAGAGACTCTTAGAAACACATAGAGACCCATAGAGACATACTGCATAGACACTCTTAGAGACACATAGAGACTCATAGAGACATACTGCATAGAGACTCTTAGAGACACATAGAGACCCATAGAGACATACTGCATAGACACTCTTAGAGACACATAGAGACCCATAGAGACATACTGCATAGACACTCTTAGAGACACATAGAGACATACTGCATAGAGACATACTGCATAGACACTTACTGCATAGACACTCTTAGAGACACATAGAGACCCATAGATATATACTGCATAGACACTCTTAGAGACACATAGAGACTCATAGACATGCAGAGACTCATGTATACCCACAGAGACTCGTAGAGACTGCATCGTAAACCCGCTGTGGTCTGCGCTCCTTCAACGGAGGAGGAGGAGGAACAGCAAAGCGACACGTGGTGTCTTTCTCCCTCACTCTCTCTCTCAATAAAAGTTGTTTAAAAGTCAAAAGTCTCTCTCCACTGGAGCCCTCTCGTCGTAGCGAGCAGCAGGAGCAGCGCCTCGACATTTGCCTCCAGCTCCCCAACTCATCGGCACGCTCACGAGACTCGTGGGCGAGAGTTAAAGTGATGCATTGAGCCGGGTAAAGCTCGCTCAGCCACGTGGCTCTTCTGTCAGAAGCGACCGGGAACGCGAATGATAGCTCAATGGGAAGTGGCTTCATCATCATCACGTGGGAATTTGTTGTCGACACACGCTCCGCAACGCGTGAGGTTGATTCTGTATGTGCGGAGGCGGGGGGTGGGGGGAGGGGGGAACCGGAGGACCCCCGGGGAAAAATCACACGCGACCACGGGGAGATAGAGAGACACGCAGACTCCAAATATACAGCAGCAGCAGATGCAAGGGTCGGGTCCGAACCCACGACCTCCTGCACACCAGGCGAGGTAGTTAACATCTCCTAGCCACCACACGGCGCACCAATGGAGTTCATGGGGGAAGGCATCAGATCAACTCCCAGACTCAGAATAATCACTCGTGCTGGAGGAATCCGATGAGCTATCAAGCTCTTCTTCACACATGTCCAGCAAGGACGTGGGGTTCAGAACCTCACAAGAACAAACAATACCGCACTGAGTCGGACGGCCACGCTTGCAGACGAGTGCCGTGAAGTCGATACCAAAGTGTCTTTGCCATTCAGCCACGAACTCACACGCGTGAGCCTGGCCTCCGATCTGCGCGTGTGATCCACCAACCCTCGTGTGTGCCTCTCTCTTATCTCTCAGATCTCGACTGGTCACGGGCCGGGATTCGAACTCTCATCCCCCTCCCTCCATCCTCCCATAACCCCTCGAATCCATCCCTTCGTCCCCATCGACCGCCTCCGCCTCCTCTGTCGCCAAGGAGACGGATACTGGTACCCAGCGTGTCACCATACCGACCACCTCCTCTGTTGCCAAGGAGACGGATACTGGTACCCAGCGTGTCACCATACCGACCACCTCCTCTGTTGCCAAGGAGACGGATACAGGTACCCAGCGTGTCACCATACCGACCACCTCCTCTGTCGCCAAGGAGACGGAGACTGGTACCCAGCTTGTCACCATACCGACCACCTCCTCTGTTGCCAAGGAGACGGATACAGGTACCCAGCGTGTCACCATACCGACCACCTCCTCCGTCGCCAAGGAGACGGACACTGGTACCCAGCGTGTCACCATACCGACCACCTCCTCTGTTGCCAAGGAGACGGATACTGGTACCCAGCGTGTCACCATACCGACCACCTCCTCCGTCGTCATCGAGAAGACGGATACTGGTACCCATCGCCCGACCACACCCATTAACACCTCCCCATCACCATCGTCTCCTCCCTCCGTTGCCATGGAGACGCGAGAGAAGGAGGTGGGGGAAGGGGCGGAGCTGGGGGGCTCCCGGCGCGCGACAGCCCCGGCCGCGGCCCCGGCCCCGGCCCCGGCCCCGGCCCCGGCCGCGGCCCCGGCCCCGGCCCCGGCCCCGGTCGCGGCCCCGGCCCCGGCCCCGGTCGCGGTCGCGGTCGCGGTCGCGGTCGCGGTCGCCGTGCTCATTGTGGCCGGCGCCTGCTGCTGCACGGGGCTCTGGGGGGTGGCCGCGGGGGAGTGGGGGCGGGGCCCCGGGGGAGGGGACCTCGTCGCGGGTCTCGAGGCCAGAGCAGCGCAACTCGAGCGGCGGGTTCGCCTCCTGGAGCTGCGGCAGCAGCGGCGGCAGCGGCGGCGTTGGCGCGAGGGGGCCGTGCAGGCGTGGGGGGCCGAGGAGGTGGAGGCGTGGGGGGCCCAGCACGACGAGGAGGAGGAGCAGGAGAGGA